GACGATATGGAGGGTGTGTACTTGATAAATTGTCCTTCTTCAACGAAGAACCTACCATAGAAATTGGTTAAAACTTCTACACAAACGGATCCTTTACAGGAAACGGTAGAAATACAGTTAAAGCGACCGCGTGGACCATCGTTTTTGTTGGAACAGCTGGAAAGAGGACAAGTAGCAATGCGGCCCGGATAAGCGTTGAACACAAAATGCGCGGGTCCTACAAAGACGACCGTACAAGCGACCGTGTGGACGTATTTTCTGTTGAAAAAGGAAGATAATGGTAAAATAAAAATAGATGGTAAAAAGAAGGATGAGTGAGGGTGCAAAGAGAGAAGAACTGGGTCCTTATGACAGGCTGGCTCCCTCCCTGGAGATATAATATAAAATACAACATGTAAAGGTTTCATAAAACTGGTACATCATTTTTATGTTGTGTGTCTTTTAGACTGTGAGCAGTCTCTCTTCAGCTCGCAAACTCGAATACGCTGCTGAAATACTCTTGCTTACAGATTTTCAAGCAAAAGAGAGACTGCTCGCAGTCTATATGTCTTTCAGTGTCTGCAAGCTTTTCTGTTGTTTTCTGACAGGTTGAATTGAAGGAACAATACTACTAGCAGTCATGAATTCTCTTTTAAGATGCCTGCATGACCTTGCCACGGAATTGATTAATAGTGGGGAAAATAATGTACAAGTCTGACAAACAGTGCAAGTTCTATATTTTGGGGCAAGGGAGCACTTATTTATTTATTTATTTATTTATTATTTTTTATACTTTTGTTAAACTATGTGGCTGCCAATGCATTTGGGATGTACTGGGAAGAGTGTGACCAACTGAGTGACACACATGTTATCGTACACACTACATTAATATTAATTTGTCTCCTTCTAGATGCTTTCCTTGACATTGCCTCTTTTAAGCCATGGCATGAATAGATACACTGATTCAGTCACACATTATGTTTTATTGCTCCGGAATGTCTCTCTCGATGCAACCCATGCAGGTGCATAAATTGATTAACTCACCAATGAAAGAAACTTGACCTAATTAAGAGGTCAAGGTGTGACCAAAGGAAGTTCTTATTGATTTTTATTTTAATGTGTTACTGCCATTTTTAACTTAAAGCCTTCCTCAATGAAGGTCCTATGCTCAAATACTGATCAAACAGCCTCAATTTCCTGTGATGTCTTAGTGGTTGCATGAGGCCTGATCAATCATAATGTGCAGACCAACATGTGGGTTTATTAGATTATTTAAAGGGAAAGATTGGGGTGTCATGGTGCAGGATGCCTTAAAAGCAAAAGATTACACAAACTTGCTCTGCCTGCAGACTCGGCTTTAAGAGCATTAGAATGCAACATTAATATCAATAGAGTCAACGTTTAAACATGTTGAAATGCAAAAAGGTGCTCACTTTACTATTGTCTGTACTATACTTCTGATTGGTTTAGGCAGCAAAATCAAGAAAACTTTGCAACGCAGCACGTATATGAATTCTTATAACAAATTCTTATGAGTCTGAATAAAACAGGCATCCCAGGAACAAAAAATTAATGTAAAGTTTTCTTCAGTTGGCTGTTGTTTGCAGCTCTTATGATTGGTTGAAACCTTTTAACACAAAGAAAATACCCCTTAAAATGGGTATGGATACATTTATTTTTGAAAACATTTTTTTTGTTTTTCTGAAAATATGGTTAGAAACTTTTCAAACATACTGACCTATTCATCTGCTTAACATAGGATGTAACTTTTATTATGGGGTCTGCTTAAATATACAGGTTTTGCCGTTCATTATAGAAAATGAGTAATTAGGTTTGTATTTTTTTCTTGTGGGAGGGGAGTATAAAAAATAAGACACAACTCAGTAAGAAGCTATACACAGCTTGAACTTATTGCAATAGTTTTTATTCTTAATACTTTTGAGCACTTTCTCCAAAAAAAGAAAAGACTACATTCAGCAGCCGACACCTAAAACCATGAGTACTTAATTACTTAAATAGGGAAAACTTGCTGGGTCAATATGGGGCAAACACAACATCAAAAGGACCTATGCATCCTTGAATGCCTAAAGCTTGAATTAAGCTGTGGTACAATTTGCATTCAAACCCCTACATTTATTATACATGCAGCAAGCTTATATTATTTAACACACATAACAAATGTTTGGGGTTGTTCTTACCTCCATATTGTG